TCTCTCTCTCTCTCACTCTCACTTTCTTCTTTGGTAGAGCCCTGCTGTCGTCACCAGTCTGTGCACTGTAAGAGTAGTGCCTGTCGATTGCCCCCTTCGATTGCCTCCTGCCACTGGATCCCTACTCTCTCTTCCTTCCCCTTCCCGTTCTCTTTCTCTTCTCCCAGTCGACTATAAATTGCCTGCACCTCAACATGAACACCAACACATTTGCGCTGCACTCCTCACCGGTCGGGCCGAAGCGCTTCGGCGGCATGGACAGCTGCAGGTCGATGCCACGACGGACGCTGCCGCCGAAGAGGAAGATGGCCTCGGCCGCTGCCAACTGCAAGTTCCACGAACGACCACTGCTCTACCTGTCCACGCGACTCATTGCCATCGTCCAGCGCGCCTTCCAGAAAGGTGAGCAATCGGTGGCAAACACCGGTGGGAAGCACACTCGCAGTGCACACCTGCTGTACATAGCGGGAAAAACTGATTTACTGAGAGAAGTACACTGAAAGCAGATTCTTTTTCATTAAAGTGTACCAGTCGACTAGGAAATCAATAGTGAGGCAAAGCAGTTATTATAAGCTCAATACAGGCTCTCTCAAACTAGCTAAATTATTAATCACTTTTCCTTTCAATGTTCTTATTACACCTTTCCCTGCCTTCCCCAGAGGAGAAGATCGATGAATTCGAATCAATGCTCAATGAACTGTGCGGTTACCAGTCTGCCGGTCAGCACTTGTACCGCAAACAGCAGGAACTGGACGTCCTCTGCAAGAAGACCTCCTTCAGCAGACAGGAGATTAAGCTGCTCTACTGGGGCTGGAAGGTCGCCTGTCCGGAGGGCATCCTCGATGAGCGCACCTTCAAGGACATTTACGCCCAGTTCTTTCCGCAAGCAGGTAGGTGTCAGTTGAGTAGAAAGAGGAAAAAATATAACCCTCTGCCAACAGGTGATGCCTCCCTCTACGCCCACTTTGTCTTCAACGCCATGTTCTCGGAGACGCTGGCAAAGAACAACGGACAAATCACCTTTCTCGACTACGCCTGTGCACTGTCCACTCTGATTCGTGGCACCATCGGCGACAAGATCAAGTTCATCTGGACGCTCTATGACATCAACAAGGACGGTAAACGAGTTATTCTGACTGACTATTCTTATTCAGCCCCTATCTAATTCACCCGCCCATTTTCGCTGCAGGCAAGATCACCTACGAGGAAGTTCTGCAGATCTCCATTGCCATCTACGGCCTGCTGGGCTTCAACGTTGCGCCGGCTCACAACTTGCGGACCTACGAAGAGCACGCAAAGCGGGTCTTTGCCAAGTTGGACACCGCCAAAGTGGGCTACATCACCTATGATCAGTTCAAGGAGATTTGCATCAAGGTAAGTGAGGAGGTTTAGTGACACAGGTACAGCACTAACTAACAAACTATGACCATCTACAGGACGAAACCATCTTCAAGTCAATGGAGAGCCTTGACACGAGTGCCATGCTCTAAGCAAAGCTCTCTAACAAACCTCGTCAGCACATTCCTTGGAACGATATCACACGCACAACGAATTGCCCCTCCTCTCCTCTAACTAATGCAATAGCCAAAAACGAAGCTTCTGATCTCTCTTTCTGTGTTCTACAAACTCAATAAAAAGGGAAACCTATACATGTTTCCAACATACATATATCAAAGACTTACCCTAACTTTCTCTTACAAAGTTTTACCTCGTCAGTTGTTTATTGCTCGTCCTGTTCTCCTGTTGTCTACTCTACAGAATAGCTCTATTTGCCATTGAATTCTTTCATTTACTCAAATACCTCTTCTTTGATTTGCTTTGTTTCTGGTGATTATTTTCAATAAATTGCTCTTTGTTTTTATTTTGCAAAACACCGTATCTACAGATTACTTTAACCTAGTACATAATCTTCAACTCTTACTCCGACTTAGATTCCCCAGAAGAGTCAGGATTAGCGTGCGTCTTCAACAACTGTGTCAACTGGCTACTGTGATGATTGAGTGACTGCAAGAGTCCTTGTTNTCTTTCATTTACTCAAATACCTCTTCTTTGATTTGCTTTGTTTCTGGTGATTATTTTCAATAAATTGCTCTTTGTTTTTATTTTGCAAAACACCGTATCTACAGATTACTTTAACCTAATACATAATCTTCAACTCTTACTCCGACTTAGATTCCCCAGAAGAGTCAGGATTAGCGTGCGTCTTCAACAGCTGTGTCAACTGGCTACTGTGATGATTGAGTGACTGCAAGAGTCCTTGTTGACTGACTGTTAGGGTATTACAAAGCATTGCTCTTTGCATATCTAGGTCGGCCATCTTTGAAATTTCTTCCATCTGCTTCAGTGTCACCAGCCGCCGCTTGTCAACAAGAGCGCCGAGCAGAAGAACTTCTGGATACTTCTTGGTTATGCGAATAATCTTGTTTATCTTTTCAGTCGTTGGAGCGAAAAGCACCGTAAAATCGTAGCCAATGGCAAAGTGTAATAATTTTTCGTATCTGGTACCGGCCCAGGCAAGTCGAGCAATGTCACGATTGTAGTAGCGAAGGAACATGCCTTCGTGCTCAAATTCATTCTTCACCAGCCGCTTATCTGGATTGGTCATTTGGTTTTGATGAAAAAAGCAAATGAGAGAGCTGGCTTTTGTCTCTGCAACCATGTCCTTTGAAAGTAGAACATCGTACGGGTGATCAGGTTTCGGTGGATGCGGCGTCAAGTTGAAGCACTTCTCAGCTGGTTCTCGTTTGTCTGTCGCAAAGACGGGCTCACAAACTGCAAGTAGTACTTTTTGACGGAAAAATGGTTGCTGATACTTCCGAAAGTACACCGCTTTGCGGAACCTTAGCTGAGACCAATTTAACAAAACTAAAGTTACAGAAAAATGTTAATGACGGCACAAGTAACAAAAAAGTTAGTTACCATTTGAAGCGGCGATTGGCTTTACAAGGGAGTTGAGGCCAGTTAAAAGAAGCGAATTTGGGATCAACATTGTAGAAAACTTTGAGTAATCACTGAAAAATGACTAAACTCTAACCAATTTTCAAACTCCTAAACTGATAAATTCAAGTCAACATCCAAAACAAACTTTTTCAGTCACGTTTTTCAGTGTTCACTTCAGCCGAAACAGCCTTCTCTAGTAGTGCGTCAAAATAGCCTGCCAATTTTCTAGTCGAAATCTTTTTTCGAACCTGATCATTTACGCTTTCCTTCGCTATTGTTTTGTCACCTTTCCGCATCATCTGCATCTAATTACTAAAATTAATATAAAAGCCGCGGCAACCAATGTCACCGGTAGCACTTTGCTTTGCTAGTTATCGATCAAGGAGAGATTGGCCTGAAGATCAGAGGAGAGAACAACAGTAGCAGCAGCTGGCGGCCAATGTCAGATTTGAAGATCTTTTCTCTCTCTCTCTCTCGGGTAATTGTTCCGTTGTCCCTTTTGTGCACAGTTGGCCAATTAACTAATGCTGCAACTTGGGAGATTCAATTAGATGCCGCTACTNTTCTCTCGGGTAATTGTTCCGTTGTTCCTTTTGTGCACAGTTGGCCAATTAACTAATGCTGCAACTTGGGAGATTCAATTAGATGCCGCTACTTNCTCTCTCTCTCGGGTAATTGTTCCGTTGTCCCTTTTGTGCACAGTTGGCCAATTAACTAATGCTGCAACTTGGGAGATTCAATTAGATGCCGCTACTTAATGACTTTCTAAGGAGAAAGGAAAATAGAAGAAAAGAAAGACGTACTGCTGTTGGCTTACTTTGTCTTTCCGGGAAGGCACTTTCCGATTAAAATCGAGTGCATTGGGGCTCGCCCGGACGCTGGTTTGGAATGGCGGCGGTGGTGGTGGTAGTGGTAGTGATTGTTTATTACTTTTCTCCACTCTGGGATAAAACAAACAAAAGGCCGTGTTATATTATAGTGCAGTAGTGTGAATTTGCATTTGTACAGCAGCAGCTTCACTTGCTGGNCAATTAGATGCCGCTACTTAATGACTTTCTAAGGAGAAAGGAAAATAGAAGAAAAGAAAGACGTACTGCTGTTGGCTTACTTTGTCTTTCCGGGAAGGCACTTTCCGATTAAAATCGAGTGCATTGGGGCTCGCCCGGACGCTGGTTTGGAATGGCGGCGGTGGTGGTGGAAGTGGTAGTGATTGTTTATTACTTTTCTCCACTCTGGGATAAAACAAACAAAAGGCCGTGTTATATTATAGTGCAGCAGTGTGAATTTGCATTTGTACAGCAGCAGCTTCACTTGCTGGTGTGCTGGTGTTGGCCTTTTATTGACAAGACACTGCCAGGCTAAACGCTGCCTTGTTTGTTGTCAAGTTCGCCCGTTATGTTTGCCCAAATGGCTGGTGATGGAACACATGAAAAACAGTGGATTGAGTCCGTGTCTGTGGGGAAAGGGAACAGATAAAAAGCAAATTTTAGGGTTGCAAAGCAGTGAGTGCTTCACATTTCCCCCCATATAGTCTACGCTCCTTCAAGACACAACTGCCACAGTGGCCTTTTCTCGGAATGTCATCGAAATCATCGAAATGTCTGACTTCAAACAAAAAGTGAGAGTGAGAGAGTGGAAATGTCTTAACTTGGTTACTTGCTCTGAGACTGGTGGCACGAATGACTGGTGTCAGAATGAGTGCTTGACAGGTTCGACGCTGCACTTGCGAGTCAGCGGGCGAGTGTCAGTCTGTGTGTGTGTGTGTGTGTGTGTCCTTGATCGATTGATTCGATTACTAATTTATGCATAGGCTTGAGATGAAAGAAATGTGCACTTTTCAACAGCAAAAATTTTCAATATGCATTCATATGTGAGTTGGGCGGCAGCGGCAGTTGTTGGCATCGGGGGCACCTGACGTGTTGGCGGAGGCAAAGGAAAAGACAAAGTGCGCAAAATCCAAAGCAACGAAAGTGGTGGAAAGTGGATGCGGATCGATTGCCGATCGATCCGCAAGCTATTGCGCCTCCGGGGGATGCCCAGCAG